TCTCAGTTGGGAATATTTGTTTAGCTTATAATTTTCCTCTCTTCTTTTTCTTCCCTTTCTCACTCTGCTCCTCTGTCATTAGGGGAAGGATTAAAGAAAGGAAGTAAAAGTGTCTCACATGACTAATGTCATCAGAAGCAGAGATCCAGGGGCTGATTCTCTCTTGTTGGGAGCATTTATGGGTTCTTTGGAGGCTATACCTGTGAATCTTAAGATCCCTCTTCAGTCACTGCTTCTTGGTGTCCACTCATCTAGCCTATTACTGGGTCTTTTCACTCTGGTGGGAAGCCCTATTGAGTTGGCCACCTGACTCTGCCGAACACAGGTAGTGGAGGCTGCCCCATTGCTGCCCTTTCTCCTTGTCCTATTGTGGAATGTATCAGCCCCCTTCCCTAATTCAGAATTTTGCAGGTCAAAAGTGGTAACCATCTTCATGAATGTGCGTGAAGGCCCCAACCTCCTGGAGAGACAGGTCTGGTTCACCTCAAAACTCTTAACCATGGTGGATGCACAGAGATGGCTAAGTTGGTGTAGTCAGCGAGACTCACCAGCTTGGGAGAAAGATCTCACAGACACCCCCAGTCTTTTGTAGTGCTTCCTCTTTATAGTGAGGTGAGCAGTTTATCGTCTTCCATGAGTTCTTCTAATGAATTCCTTTTGAATTTTTCTCTCTCCCTGATGGAGGCTGGAAGTAGATGAAGGTTTTAGGATTGGTCTAGTCATTTTTTAGTAAATCTTTTACTTACTTAAGTAGTAAGGATGAACTGGTAGGTTTTCTTTAGAAGGTGAAGATCCTTATTTCCTGTTGTTCTCAGCTTTGGAATTTTATAGCTCATTAACATTTTGGCACTATATATATATATATATATATATATATTAAGATTTTTATTTATTTATTGAGAGAGAGAGAGAGAGCATGAGAGGAAGGAGGGTCAGAGGGAGAAGCAGACCCCCTGCTGAGCAGGGAGCCCGATGCGGGGCTCCATCCTAGGACTCCAGGATCATGACCTGAGCTGAACCCAGTCGCTTAACCAACTGAGCCACCCAGGCGCCCCTCCGGCACAATATATTAATTGCACACCAAATTGAGGAGGGAGGAATGCCCTTTCTAAGCAAAGAAAGGCTTAGTTTTATACCGAGATTCATGGAATCTCAGAGTTAGGAGAAATCTAGAAGCCATTTAATCAATTTCCCCATCAACGCCATGAATCCTGTTTACAACTTGAGATGTTAACCAGTTTTCATTTGGACACATCCAGGAACTAGGAATGCTTTCCCTAACTTTCAGATCTCAGCTCTGTCAATTACCAGATGAGTTTCACCAAATCACTTTAAACCCCGTTCCTCACCTATGAAAGGAGTGTAAATAGTGTCTTCTTCACAGAACATTGTTGGAAGGATAAAAGAAGATAAATATATAAATTGCCTAACCCAGTCACAGAGGAGTGCAATGTTGTTTCCCTTTACAGGTCCCTTTAGGGGACAGCATATTCTGTTTTCGGATTATTTTCACCGGAGAAAGATCTTCCTCATATTGAACTGCCTCTGTATATTTTTAGCCCTTCCCTTAAGCTCACCCTTCAGTGGTCATACAGAATGTCTTTTCTCCTTTCACTCGACGGACTTTCAGATATGTGATTTTAATTGAAGGAACTGGAGATATTAGGAAAATCCATTTTTTTTTCCTTTTCTGAGTGGGGAGTCCAGGTAGCCGTTAGACTTCCGTGTGATCCCCAAGAGGGATTTATTGAGTGAATGGGGTAAAGATGGTATTTTACTTTCTAACATCAGTTCTCCCCGACGCTGGTGGGTTTAATCCCGGGCTGGCTATGATTCTGTAGGATTCTAGCCTGGAACGTGTGTGTGTATGTGTGTGTGTGTGTAAGAGAGGGAGAGAGAAAGGGAGAGACAAATGTTGTTAGACACTTGAACGCCTTTGAATGGTGCTATTCTTTGTCTGCCACATCGTGAGCACTAATAAGATCGTTTATTGCCCTGAATGAATGGTTAAACGTGGAAGCGACAAAGAAAGCCAAACGGCTTTCAATGAATACCTAGGCGGGTGCTCAAAAAGTCCTCTCAAGGGCGCCTGGGTGGCTCAGTTGGTTAAGCGACTGCCTTCGGCTCAGGTCATGATCCTGGAGTCCTGGGATCGAGTCCCGCATCGGGCTCCCTGCTCGGCGGGGAGTCTGCTTCTCCCTCTGACCCTCCTCCCTCTCATGCTCTCTGTCTCTCATTCTCTCTGTCTCAAATAAATAAATAAAATCTTTAAAAAAAAAAAAAAAGTCCTCTCAAGGGCGAGCTGGGAGAGTTGCTGTTAAGAGGTCTCTTTTGGGGTGGGTGGGGGACTAGCCTTCGGCTCCAACGCTTAGGAACCGCCTCTTTCACCCGCGGAATGACCGCTAGGCGGTGCCGCGGCATTCGCCGCCCACCTGCCCGGGCTCCCCCGCTCTCATCCTCACCCCTCAATCCCCGACCGGCGGCAAGACTACAACTCCCGTGGTGCTCTGGGAACGGGAGAGGTGGGGGGGGGCCATGGGGGAAAGAGGGAGGTGAGGGCGGGCTTTCCGGGAGTGTGTTTCCGGCGTCGGCGGCCGCGGCCGGGGACGGTGTGAAAGCGGTAAGATGGCGGCGGCGGCGGTGGTGGAGTTCCAGAGAGCCCAGTCTCTACTCAGCACCGACCGGGAGGCCTCCATCGACATTCTCCACTCCATCGGTAAAGGTCGCCGCGCCCCTTCTCTGACCCTGCCGGCTCAGCTCGGCCTGTGTGGGCCGGCGGTGGCGGAGCGGGGCCGGGCTAGCCGGCTCTGGTGCTGCTGACTCACTGTGTGTGAGGGGGGCCGGGCCGGGGGCACAGGCCGCTCGCAGCTCCCTGGAGCCCCCTGGGTCCCACCCGGGTGGGGAGCTTCGAGGCAGCCCCGGCGTCCACTTGCCGGCTGCTGACTCACGGTGGGCTCAGCGTGGAGTGAGAGGGTGGGCCGAGCCGGGGCCCCCACCACTTCCCAGCCTTGCTCCGGCTCTGGCCCGTGCGGGCTGGCCCGGGATCGCGAGCAGTGCCGGCCGGCGGGCTTGTCGCGAACAGGACTGAGAGCCTCGAGTTGAAAGGCCTTGGAGAAGCTCGCTGTAGACAGCGTTTCCCGCCGTTGTTATCAGTACAGCCCGCTCCGGGTGGCAGAGCGAGCGCTCGCTTTTCTCTTGGAGTTTTCTTCCTCGGGACGCTGGGAACTGCTACCTCTCTCCAGCCTCACAGCGGAAGGCTCCACCAAAGGGAGATCGCTTTTTGAATGTGGGAAATACCGAGGGGACACACACCACAGATTGACATTTGGTTTGAAGAGGTGCCCGAGACGTTCCTTTGCCCCCTTGTTGGGTGTAAGAGCGAGATGGGACCGCCCGGCTAGAGGAGGTGACCAGTCGTCCTAGTCTCCCCTGTAGAGGTGGGAAGTGAGTTCGGGGAGTTAGTTGTCAACCGCGGAGTTCAGGGAACTGGTCCGCCGCAGATTGCCAGAGAAAATTAAAGTCAATTTGTAGTAGATTGCCTTACATCTTGCACACAAAAGGAAAACTGAAACGGGAGCTCCAGCCAGTCGCTTCTGAGAAGTTTCTACCGGGATTCAGGTGTGAATAGAAATAAATTTGTGATGACAGAGAAGGCTTTTAATGTTCAAGTCGTAAAGGGTTCAGTTAGGGCATGGGATAGCTCTTGCTGCACATGTAGTAATGTGATCTTTTTAACGTAGTTTCAGAAGATTCAAATTGGATCAACAAGTAGCGTAAGAATGCACGTGTATGTGGGACCTCCAGGATGTTGGCTTTTACGTTGACTTCTAGTCTGTTGAATTTTGGTATCCCTGACTTGCATGGAGAAAAGACAAGATCTTGATGTCTTTATCTTTGGGGGTACTGGAGAAGGAGAGGAGGTGGGGGTTAAGATGCATCTGTGGATGGATGATTTTGGTAAATGAAAGGTTTTAATTTTGAAGTTCTGATCTTGAATTAAGTCAGTTAAAATTATAGAACCAGCGTCATCTCAATCACATATATATTTTTATTCTGTGAGTACACACTAATGTGAGAAGCATGGATTTTATTTTGTTTTTTTGTGCTAAGTGCCTACTATTTTGTCTTTTATAAAGGGAAATTATGGTAAGCATTATAGTTGGAGTATTTTGTGATTGTCCATTCTACTACTCTTCAAGCTTGAGTCATGATGGGTACAGTCTTACTTTTTCCAGACTCCATCATGGAGTATCTAATCTTGGTTTTTGTCAAGTCATGATGCTTTGTAAGAGAAGTGATAACTAGTGATAATCACTAAAATTATCACCACAAACTCAGAGAGGTTATTCAGTGTTTGGTAAAATAGTTTTTAACAGTTGAAAGTGGGACAGATAGCACAAAGTTATTTTAACAGGTCCTGAATCCATTATAAAGCCACAGTCCCTCCTAAGGATCACACTGGAGCTTTGATTGGGTTGTTTTTCCTGAATGGCTTTGTAGAACTGCTTATCCCTAGCACACCCATTAGTGAGACTTTCCACAGACTTAAAGTTTATTGAAAGACTCTTGACTTTTTTTAGTCATCAGTAAATAATGGTCTTTTGATTTTAGTTTGTGGCAGGTGAACGTATAGGCATGTTTAATATTTTCAATAACAGAGTGCCTAACGGGCTTAGCACCACAAGTATGAAGCACTTGTTTGGATTTTTGCTTTAACCAAGTGACTGCAACAGAAATCTCATTGTATGTGGGTAAGGGGAATTCTGATTCATAGAATGAAAAGGCACATTTAAAATCAGAGAGGAATCTATTTTTATGATTTATATGGGACATATCTTACATGATGATTTCACTTTTTTAAGAATTTTTTTTTTTTTTTAAAGCTCTCTAGAATTTGTCTTTTGGTAACTGAGTTTGTAATTGGTCTTGTGAGGGTGAAATTTCCCTCAGTCTTCATTTTTTGTCAGAATTTTAAGAAGGTTTGCATTTTCCTCTCCCAGTGAAGCGTGACATTCAGGAGAATGATGAGGAGGCAGTGCAGGTCAAAGAGCAGAGTATCCTGGAACTGGGGTCTCTCTTGGCGAAGACTGGACAAGCTGCAGGTAAGTGCTGCAAATGGGTTGCTTTCTCTTTTACCTGAAATGCTGGGTGAAGTTTCGTTTCTCTTGGAGTACAGGAACATAGGAATGCATCCACACAGTTTATTGGTGGTATATTTCCATTTTATCGTCAACTTGTTGAGCTTCAGTTTTTTAGCAGGAAAGTAGGTGGACCTTTAAATTCAGTTCTTTCGTGGAACAGTTTTGTTCTGCAGGTGCGGGAAAATCCTATTCCTTTTGGGATATAGTGATCTGTGATTTGTTTCTGGTTTGAATTTTCACTGTGTTCCCTTACATAGGGGCAGCAGCACCAGTAGCAGCTGTCTTTAGGGATTTCAGCTCTGATATATTTAAGATGGACAGCAGCTTAGGCCCCTGACTTGAAAGTGACTAGGGATTCTGCATCCAAGTCAGTGAGTAGCTGTCCTTTTTTCCTGATGGAGAGTGAGACATTAAATGGAAAGAGCCTTCCCGAGATTTCTCCATTGTTACCTGGGACTTTGTGCATGTTATTACCCATACATTCTATTTGTAATTGAACCATTGAGTTTCTAGGCTTGAGATACTCTGATGACGGTGTCCTCGGAATAAGAATCACTGGAATAAGAGACCAGGAAGGGCCTTTGACCAGTAAAGTGGTAATAGTATTTAGAGACAGGGTTTCTTAAGCTTAAAATGGATGATTTTTGTCAACTTTAAAGTGAATTTAGATCTTATCTAATTTAGAATGGATTAAGCTCTGGTAAGGGACTTTATGAATTACTTTACCCAAAATAATATTGTTATCCAAGAGGTGTAAGTTAGCAAAACTTCTTGAACTTGAGAACTAAGATCTTTTGCAACTTAAAGATGACTAACATTGATTATTAGGCTCAGTCAATAAAAAGTTGAGTAAAGGTATATGCAGTTGGAGGATGTGTTTATATGGCTTTTGTATCTTACTTAAAATATCATTTAAAGATATTTATAGTAAGACAGTTTTTAAATGCTGTCAACAAGTTACTCTTTTTTTTTTTTTTTAAGCACAGAAATGATTTCGTTTATTGCGTCCTCAAAACAACTCGATAAGGTGGATACTATTGTCCATTTTACACCTGAGGAAACTGAGCACAGAAGAGTTAAATAACTTATCCAAGGTCACTCACTCATCTAGTATGTGGAAGAGCCAGGATTTGAACCAGTTAGTCCCACTTCAGAGCTTGAGGCCTTATGGTGTAATGGTTCATGCTTTCCATAGTTAATCACTTATGGGTTATCAATGGTTAGTGCTGGGATTTTTCACTTTATTTATTTTTTTAGTAATCTCTACACGCAACGTGGGGCTCGAACTCAACCCCCAGGTCAAGAGTCACATGCTTTTCTGACTGAGCCAGCCATGCATCCCTGTTTTTTTCATTTTAGACTGACTTCCCTCCTGTTTAACATATTTATGGATTCCTTTTGCCTGTCAGTTAATGTGAGCTTGGGGTTGCATAATAGTTTTGTAATTAGTCCATACAAAATATAATTAATAAGGTAATTTTCCTGAAAGAATTAGAAAGTCAGGTAAAGTGATTTAAGATTTTTCTGTTGTTGAAATTTCCAAATATCTGTTTTCCTCCAGTAGCATGGACAATTACAAATAGCATGTAGTACAGTCAGCGCTTCAAAAATTTATGCAAAAATGTTAACTGTTTTGCTTGAAATTCGTATTTTATGCTTTGTTCTCTCCTTATTCCTTGCCCCTCCCCTTTTTGTGATTCAGTACCTGAGAAGTTGAGAAGTGTATAGCTAAACCTATTGCAATTTAACAGGTGAATCATAAGGACTTTCAGAAACTTTTCCAGGTCATTTGTCATTGTTTTCTAAGAAAGAATTTGATGAATATAGGTATATACAATAGAAACTCTAAGGAGGTCTTGGGGCCTCCATTCATGTACCTAACTTTGCTCTTCATAATTGATAGGTTTATGTTCTTTCCTTTGATTTTTGGTTCCCTGAGAACAGAAAATAGGTTTAGTCCATTAATCTTTAATTTTGTTTTATTATGCACTTAATATACAGTTAGCACTGTGCTAAGTACTCCATTCAAAAAATTTAAGATAAGGTCTCTGACCTGTAGCAGTCATTTGGGAATTAGTGAATAAGGCAAGGTTTGATGCATAATAGTGGTTGAAAGTGGTGCTGAGCATCATCAGACATGATGGCTAGGCTCAGGATCTGCAGATTTCATAGCTTGAGATTCTGAAAGGATTATTTTGAGCTCTGTGACCTTCTAAAAAGGAAGTTTGGGTCATATAATTGTAAATAATCTCAATAGGAAGTAGTATGATTCTTTGGGAATTAAAAAATTAATTTGTTATGTATGAGAATGGAAAGAAACAGAGACTATAACCGAGAATGAATAGCAACAATAGACTGAAATGAAAAGTGAACTGAATCTTTGGCAACTAAGAGGTCATTTGTTTTTCTGTTGGGGTAAGAAGAATAACACTATCAGTGCTTGGAGCAAATACTGTAATGCTAGCAGGTGCTAGAGCAAAAGGCAGGCTGCTTAGTTCATGTTTCACTTCAGCCTTTTCCAGGAAGGAAAATAATTTTCAAAAAGAAAAAGAAAAAAGCATCAGAAAGAGAGAATTAAAGCCAAGGTAGGTGAGAGAAGAGAGAGCAGATAGGCTCTTTAAATAAGTTCAAGTCTCTAGGCTCTGACAGTTTGTCTTTTAATATCAGAAGCATAGTTCTAGCAGATGTATTTATAGAGCCACTATTATTATTCTGAGAAAAGTCATGGAGGATGGAGAAGTATTAAGGAAACAGGATGGGCAAATATTATTTCATTTTGCGTGAAGATAACGAGAATTTCTAGACACTTTAAACTGGTAATCACTAATACTGGGACAGATTATTTGGTAAGTAGGTTTTAATCACTTAAGACCGTGGGTTTATTAAGAAAAGATTATTTCAAACTCACCTTCATTCTCTTTGGTTAGCCTTATCAGACCAGTAGATGTGCAAGGCTCCACAGACAGTGGCTTGCCAGCTGTTTTTGTAAATAAAGTTTTGTTGGATCCCAGCCACACCCATTTATTCACATATTGTCTATGATTGCTTTTGCACTGCAGTGGCTGAGTTGAGTTTGTGCCAGTGAGACCACATTGCCCAAAAAGCTGAAAATATTTACTATCTGGCCCTTCACAGAAAAAGTTTACCAACCTCTGGGTTAGAGGAATGATACAGACTACATATCTGATGTAAGCAAGGCCTTTGAACATTTGCCGTAATATTAATGAGAGGTACAGGGTATGAAGATCATTTGTCAACTAGAGGGAAGTCTCTAGCATCGGTCAGCATCTGGCATTATGGCTAAAGCCTTTTCAGAAGACCTGCTTATTTTTTGTAGATGACTCAGTACAGTAGAGGACAGAATTAAGATTCAGAGTTATTGCCAAAGCCAGCAAGATTAAATTCAGTGTGGTAAGTACAAAGTTATATTCTTAAAAGTATTTATCAAAACAGAGGAAGATGAGGAATTACCTGTCAAAAAAGACCTTAATGGACCAGTCTAAACAAAAGTGCTATTAAGAAAAAGGAAGTAGACTATCTTGTGTTACCTGTGGGGCCAGATCAAGAGAATTAGGCCGTGACTCTACTGGTCAGACCTTACCTGGAGAATTGTTTTCAGTTTTGGGTACTACAGGTGGTATGTTTGCAAACTAGAGTTTATTCAATGACAAGGAATCTAGAAACCAGAACATTGGAGGAACAGTTAAAACAGCTAAAGATGTTTAGCTTGGAGAAAGGGAAAGTTAGGGAGATATAAATGGTAGTTATCTTCAGAAATTTGAAGCCATGTGGAAGGAGGGAAAGACTTGGGTTTTAGAAAAGAACAATTCAGTTTGACTAACATTCAGATAGTCAGCTTTCTGAACATTTCTGTCATTAGAGATTGTTCAGAATTGTTCTAGCATAGTAGGAAATACTGTGGGAGAAGGGACATTGTACTAAACTACTTTTAAAAAGATATGGTTGTATAATTAAAATTTGTACAAATGTAAAAGGAATTTGAGAGGGAAACATCAGTGCAGCCTGGAGTTGGCTTGGAAGACATAATAGGACTTTAGCTGGACCTAAAAGGATATCTGAGGTTTACATAGATCAAGAAGATGAGGGAGAAATTCTACATGGGAATGCAGCAGGAGTGAGGCATGAAAGAACACACATGTCTAGTCTATGCAGGGGTGAATGGAGTGGCAGAATGGGGAAAATCTTAGTGGAATCAAAGGTCAGTACTGGGGAATGAAGGAAAAAATGAACTTTTCCACTGTATAAAGTTCTTTTCGTACCTGACACAGTCCCATGCATCCTGTGACTATTCAGGCAGATGAGGATTTCAGGACCCTGAATTAGCATTCTCAGGAGGGTGAGGTTTGCTTGCCCTGAATTAGAATCCTCAGGAGGGTGAGTCCACAATTGGAGAATATTAAAGAGGTGGTGGCACTAAAGTAATTGTAACCTACATTCCAAAAGTACTTCCATAGTTATCGAGTTGAAATATTCTCTAATTTCTACTCTTGTTTCTAAAGATGCTCCCTTAAAATGACTGTGCCACCTTCTTTTCCTCTATAAGGGGAGAAAAACTTCTGTGGTGGACACCTTTTTTGGTCATAGTTTAAGACTTAGGCTTTACCAGTAAATGAAGAATTTTAAGTATATGTTTAAGGGGAAAACACCCTAAGTTTTCTGTGAAAAGTTTAGTTAGTGCCAGGGAAGTGATATTGCTAAAAGCCTAAATTGGGGAGAACTTTGGGAGGGGAGTCTGTTTTAAGGGGGAGCTGTTACGGTAGACTTGGAAATTCAGCAACAAAACACCCCTCCCATAACCTCATCAGATTTGCCAGTTGTGAGGAAGTGATTTTTACCTCAGGTGTCAGAGGCACAGCTTATTTCATGTTCTAGAAAACTGCGCTCTGAGACCATGAGCACTTGGCTGTTTATCTGTCATTAAGATGGGTAAATGAGGCTGAGAGACGTGAGGTTTTCCCAGGGCCCTCATAGTAATCCAGTAGCTGAGTGTGGAATAGAATACAAATTTGGTATATGTTGTTCACTCATTTTTGCTACTCTGTTATCTGCTAAGAATGCTTTAAATTCCTACTATGTATCACATAGTAGACTGATTGCAGTGACATAAAGATGGATTTCATGATCTTGGGTCATTATTTTAATGGGTATTTGGTCTCTAATATTGATGTTTACTTTTTCTTTTCTGAATTGCCTTCCACACAGAGCTTGGAGGACTCCTGAAGTATGTGCGACCTTTCTTGAATTCCATCAGCAAGGCTAAAGCAGCTCGTCTGGTCCGATCTCTTCTTGATCTGTTTCTTGATATGGAAGCAGCTACAGGGCAGGAGGTAAGCTACTTTAATGGCAGAAGGTAGACAATATGGACAAAAAGTCTGTTTCAGTGAAAGCAATGCCTGCGTGCACTGTGGTACTAATGTGGAAGGGACAGCTGAGCTGGGAGGACAGCTCAGGACTTATCATGTCAGTTTCTCTTTGTTACAGGGCATTTGATACTTTGGGTCTGTTCCATGCTTTGCTTTGTAAGTGGAGATTGTCAGTGGTCCCTGGAATCCTCATTACATCAGGGTCACAAACTGATTCTTGTCTTTGAGGTATTGTATTGCCACACCTTTGTAATGTTTTCTGTGTCTGTGGTACCTTTTATTCTGTGTCACAGAGCTCCTTGTGAGCACTAAATAAGTCTTGTGGCATCACTTCTTGGCGTGTTTTGTACTGCGTATATGCCTTTATGGAGGGGTGAGCATCCATCTGTTTGTGTCTCATGTGTGCAGAAGTGACTCTGGTGTACCTGTACATGTGTCCTCTACAAGTTCAGACCAGACCCTGAACCATGCTGAAGAGTGCCTCTTTGGAATCAGTGAGCCTCTTCTGAACTTTCAAAGATAGCTGTATTTTCTACAGTTCAGGAGGAGACACTACCAAAGTTAAAACTTATTCTGTAAAAAGCAGCAGATTCAAGCAGGATAGATTGTGGTTACTTGAATCTGTTTGTAGGAAGAATATAGTTGTATTTCCTATAGATACATTGCTTAGTATTCGCTGAGTGCCCACTGTATGCTAAACACTGTTACATATACTGGGGATACATTTGTAAAAACACAGTCACTGTTCTCATGGGGATTATATTTTAATGAGGAAGGCAGGCAATCAATAAATATATAAAATGTCAGGTAATATAAGGACAGGGGTAGGAAGCTGGCTGGTTATATGTCTGATTGTTTGCTCTAGCCTCTGTGGGTGTAAGTAAAAGGTATGAAAGGGCACAGTAGCATTCTAAGTAAATAATGAGAAATTTCAGAAATCTAGGACATGGATCCCACTTTGAAATCAGGTCTTTTGTAAAAATCTGCTTTCTTGCCTTAATCATTCTTTGAGGCCTAGTTTAAACACCATAAACTCACTTCATTTGTAGAAAATTCATTTGTAGAGAACTTTTCAAATTTGTGGCAGAACTATGTTTCATGATGGTAGATCAAAAATAGTTAATATTTAGATGGCTGTCTTTTGAACCAAAGCATTAGAATTATTTTTATGAATAATTTAAAAGAAAAGGTGATTTTAATGGGGTGTTAGTCTTATCTAACCCTAACTTTTTTTTTTTAAAATTGTACTTTGTTCTCATGAAGAAGGACCACCATCTTTTCTTTGAAATGGGGTGCCTTATAATGGGCTGACCAAAAATGTTACTTTGAAACAGACTGACATGTGTTACTTGGAACTTTCTAGGCAGAAAGAATTAATTATCAAAGCTGCTCCTTTGCACACCGAAGTCTCCAGAATTTTTCCCTTCCCATAGCGTAGAGTTAACTCTGGATGGAACTGCATTTGTGTAACGAGCAGTTCTCCTACTCCTTTGTGGAGGTCCATTAAATCATAATTCAGCACTCTCCTGTAATTGGCTAGTGGGATTTACTGGCCTTTATCATGTGGCTCCGTGTCTGGTTAGGCTATCCCATCTGCTTTACTTTTCTTCATATTTATTTTCCTTTTTAACATCTGTTTCCTCCTTAGAATGGGAGTTCCATGAGGATAGTTACTTTGTCCTGTCCAGTGCTGTATCCTTGGCACTTAGAGTAGTTTGGCCCAGAGGACCTACAGAACTCATATTTGTTGGAGGAATGTATGGATAATGCCTTCCCCGTGGTCGGTGCTTAGGAGATACTTTTTTGAATTAAGACATAAATTTATTGAATTGAGATATAAGCATAAGTGTTGTTACTACATTTCTCTAGGTGACTCAGGATCTCTGACTTGGAGAAATTGGAGCTATGTATTCATCTTGGAACATTCTAGGTTCTTTTATTTGAGTGATGGAAAAGGATAGGGGAGCAAGTTGTAGGTCACTATCATGGTGGTATTGCGGCCTGAGGCAAAAGAAGAAGTTTGTAAACGTTGTTAAGAGATCTAGGAGTTTTGTGTTGCGGAGTTTGGTACCCAAGAGGATGGAGGAGGGGATTTTCCTTGCCTTTTTCTTTTTGGGAACTAACCATAGGTCAGATAGATTTACAGAACAGTTTTCTAGCTTGCTGTATTCCAAAAGGTGGTAGGAATCAGGTTAGGATTGAGTGAATTGCAGCACTAAGGTTTAGCGCCTAGAAAGTGAGGATGTAGGTGGAGGTAAGGGAGAGTGACGATGGGGTGGTTGGCAGGGGTGGGAGGGGGTAGAGAATTGGGGTGAGGAGGGGACTGTGCCAGACCCTTGCCAAATTGGGAACTGGAATTTCAAAATTAACTTTACCTTTCTGGGATCTCTAAGTAGTTGCCCAGGGGAAGCCATTTTTGGTATAGTCTATCCAACTGAAGCCACAGTAGCACATTTTGAGAAACCTTCCATCGAATCCTGTTATTGAAACAGTTATTTCCATGGAAAAAAGGAGTTTGTGCTAGAGAATTTCAGACTTGGAATAGTAGTTACTCTTCTCCCATAAGGATTTAGTTAATAAAGGCATTTAAAAAAATCGTTAAGTGTATTGATTTAAAACTTAAATGTCTGGGGTGCCTGGGTGGCTCAGTCAGTGAAGCGTCTGCCTTCAGCTCAGGTCATGATCCCAGGGTCCTGGGATCGAGCCCCACGTTGGGCTCCCTGCTTGGCGGGGAGCCTGCTTCGTCCTCTTCCTTTGCCTGCTGCTCCCCCTGCTTGTGTGCTTGTGCGCTCTCTCTTTCTTTCAAAATAAATTTAAAAAAAATCTTTAAAAAACAAAATAAACTTAAATGTCTGATTTCTATCACATCAAGCTTTTGTACTCAAATAAGGGCTTTCTCCAGAAGCAGGGGCTCCTCCTATATTCTTATCCCCTTTATTAGTCATTATCCGCATTAACAAAGCACAAAGCCTCAAAAACAAAATAGTTGTGTAGCAAGGCCAATGGCCTTTAAAATTTTTCCTTAGAATTGAGGTGCTGGCTTTACCAGTTACAGTCCTAGATAGTGCAAATCATGTACCCTGTAATGGATTACAGATACTCAGTTCAGTTTGTAAAAAAATCCCTGCTCTAGGAGAAATGTCAGTACTGACCTGAACTAGAGCACTGGAGATAGGGTCAAGTTCTGATCCCAGCAGCTGGTATGTGACCTTGAGTGAGTCACTTCACATCTGGACTATCAGGGAAATGGGGACAGTTGAGATGATGGAGTAGAATTCAGTGTTTCTGAACTAGAGATCTACATCCGAGTGTCCAGGCTCTATTCCAGACTACTGAGTCAGGAGCCTCGGCATCCATTTTTGTATTCTTAAAAAAGCTCCCTGGGTAAAACTGGGACGGTAAGCATTTCTTAGCCCCCCCCCAAGACACATAGGACTAAGGACTCTTGTATTTTTGTTGTTAAACACATTCAGCAAAGTATTTTTAGTTCCATTCACGTTATGAACAGAGATCTTACTTTGAATTTGGCTTTTCAGAACATAACTCAAAACTCTGAAATTGTGGTTGGCTTGCCTTTAATTTAGTTTTTGGAGAATTTTTAGGCAGTCGGTTGAATTTAGTGCTGGAGATTAAGTAGCCACCAGGGGGCTTCAGTGAGTTATACAGGTTCGTTGAGTCTTACTGGTGAATCCTCCAAATACCATGTAATGTCATCTGTTTATTTACTGAGCTTGAACTTAGGATCTAAAGGCAGAAGGTCTGTCAATTTGAATTATGTGCTGTTCCTTTTCCTTCCTTATAACACCTCTTAAGAGCACTTTGGATGTACATAGAGATCTGTTGTATTAGCAGTCAGTTCTCCAGAAAGTTCAGTTTCTTTTTTTTTTATTATTTTTTTAAAGATTTTATTTATTTATTTGACAGAGAGAGGGACACAGTGAGAGAGGGAACACAAGCAGGGGGAGTGGGAGAGGGAGAAGCAGGCTTCCCGCGGAGCAGGGAGCCCGATGCGGGGCTCGATCCCAGGACCCTGAGATCATGACCTGAGCCGAAGGCAGACACTTAACCGACTGAGCCACCCAGGCGCCCCAAAAGTTCAGTTTCTTATCTTATGCTCTGATTAGGAATCTTAATACAAAACTTGCAGTAACAGAAGTGATAAAAGATCTGCAGTACTTAATATGTACTTTCTCAAAGCTAGTATGGCACAGCTACCTGATGGCATGTAGACCATCTAGCATAGAACACTGCTTTAAATCAGTTATTTTGTACATTATCTTACTGCTTGGGTGGCAGGTAGAACTGGGGGTTCACAGCACTTTTATTATTTTTTTGTATTCATTCTTTTTTTTTTTTTTTTTAAGTAGGCTCTGTACCCAACGTGGGGCTCTGTCTTACGACCCTGAGTTCAAGAGTCACATGTTCTACCAACTGAGCCAGCCAGGTGCCCCCAAAGCACTTTTATTTTATTTTTATTTATTTATTTATTTAAAGATTTTATTTATTTATTTGAGAGAGAGAAAAAGAGACAGAGAGCATGAGAGGGAGGAGGGCCAGAGGGAGAAGCAGACTCCCTGCCGAGCAGGGAGCCCGATGCGGGACTTGATCCCGGGACTCCAGGATCATGACCTGAGCCGAAGGCAGTCGCTTAACCAACTGAGCCACCCAGGCGCCCCCCAAAGCACTTTTAAATAAAGCCTTAAAGTCTTTTTAAGTGTTAGGCTAATTGTAATTTCTTTTTACTCCCTTTAATACATGCTAAGTGTATTGTATTGTGATGATGAATTGGTTGGTTGCATTTGTTAGTATCGGAAAGGGAAGAGCCAGCTGGGCCTTTGAGTCTTACAAGCAACTGTTAGGAATAAGGCATTTGTGCTTAGGCTGAGAATTTCTCCGCTTTATTACCAATGGGTTCATATTAACACACTTCCATTACTCTTTGTAACTATTTAGGGAGAAATTTCTGTTTTAAAGATTTCTCAGTCATTGTAGAAATCTGTATTCCAGGCTATATATATTTGGAATTTCTGGGTCCCTCCTGGGAAGGTAGACAAGGAATCTTGAAGAGGAAGCTCTTTTTCTCTTTTTTTTTTAAGATTTTATTTATTTGACAGAGAGACAGTGAGAGAGGGAACACAGAGGGAGTGGGAGAGGGAGAAGCAGGCTTCCCGCTGAGCAGGGAGCCCAGTGCGGGGCTCGATCCCAGGACCCCAGGATCATGACCTGAGCTGAAGGCAGACGGTTAACTGACTGAGCCACCCAGGCGCCCCGATGAAGCTCTTTTTCAAAAGAACACAATCTAAGCACAAAGATACTTTGTGTGTAAAAAGTCAAGTTGATTCTCCATTATGATATAACCATTACACAGTGAGATACTGTAGATCAAGGTATGTCCCCTGAGACATTAAGTAGAGCAAGATGGGTAATATATAAGGAGGGAATTAAAGCTATTCTCCAAAGCAAGGTTTGTGGGAAGAATGTGAGGACATAATATTGCATGTCCTGTCTCTTTTGCAGGTCGAGTTGTGTTTAGAGTGCATCGAATGGGCCAAATCAGAGAAACGAACTTTCTTACGCCAAGCCTTGGAGGTATGTGCCTACATTAGTGCTGCTTTTAGGTCTCTAGGCATTGGACAGGCTGTGAATGTAAGTAACACCATTCTGATCAAAAGTATTTTCAGTAATTTTGTATTAGCCAGGCACCCAAAGATTATTGATAGTGATCCCACTCATGAGAATACCTGCTGTGTGGCTCAGAGAAGTAAGCAGCCGGACAGTGAGCTTAATAGTCACTGGCCATAGTAGCAGGTAGTACCATGGGCTACGTCGTTGCTTAGGCTGGATTTGATGCTCTCTCCAGAACTTGTATATTCAACAGTAACAGTTCTGTGACTGTCAATCTTTGATTTCTTTCTTTGGCTTTTTTCTTTCTATCAGTCAATGCCTTTTCTCTTTCCTAGGCAAGACTGGTGTCTTTGTACTTTGATACCAAGAGGTACCAGGAAGCATTGCATTTGGGTAAGTAAGCTGGTAGAAAGTAATAAGGCGACCTAGCTGGCTAAATAAATGTATTCTGAACCTGGCCACTCTTATTAGTTACATATTAATAATTTATGTTCTGCCTACTTCAAAGAAGGATTTAAAGTGGCTTTGCATTTACTGAATCTGTCATGGAGAAATGCCATTTGGAAGTTCTAAGTAACTTACCAGAGTTAATCTGTCAAATTTAGAAAACCAAAGGGTCAAACTGCAACTGTTTTACTATTATGTTTATTATACTTGTTTATAATTACACTTAAAATTTATTTTAAAACTCAAGAAATTAATTGGTGCAAATGTATATGGTGACTAGAGTGAGGTTACTAAAGCCTTTCCCCTGTGTGGCCTTTGAACACCCTGAAGTCTTTGCCTGCTGCTTTTTTTTTTTTTTTTTAATTGGTAGATTTGGACTGTTTTCCCCAGATCGAACAACATGGCTTCTCATGATATTAAGGTGAAAAAATTGCCAATATTCAGTTTTTATCCTGCAAAATGGCATTTCATTTGGTTCAAACGAATAGTAGCATTAAAAAGATGTTTTTTTTTTTTTTTAAGTTTTATTTATTTAAGTAATCTGTACACCCAATGTGAGGCTTGAATTCACGACCCCAAAATCAAGAGTCGCATGCTCTTCTGACTGGGCCAGCCAGGCGCCCCCCAAAATAAGTTTTATTGAGGTGTAATTCATAGACCATAAAATTCACCCTCTTAAAAGTGTATGATCCAGTGGTTTTTAGTATATTCATAGTTGTACAGTCATCGCCACAATCTGATTGCAGAACATTTCATCACCCTGGAAAGAAACCTTGTAACCATGTACCCATTAGTTACCATTCCCGTTCCCTCCCCCTGCCAGGCAACCACTAATCTACTTTCTGCCTCTATGGATGTGTCTGTTCTGGACATTTCATATAATATGTGGTCTTTGTGATTGGCATCTTTCACTTAGCATGTGTTCATGTTATCCATGTTCATGTTATCCATGTTGGAGCATGTATCACTACTTTGTTTTTATTGCCGAATATCCATTGTGTGCTTATGCCACATTTTAGCTATCTTTGTGGGGGTGAAAGTGGTATCTCATTGTGGTTTTGATTTGCATTTCCCTAGTGACTAGTGATGTTCATCTTTTTATGTATTTATTGGCCATTTATATGTGTTTGGAGAAATATTTATTCAGTCCTTGCTTATTTTTTAATTGGGTTGTTTGTGTTTTTATTGTTTGTTCTGGATAAAAGTCCCTTACCAGATACATGATTTGCAATTTTTTTCTCCATTTTATGAATTACTTTTTCACTTTCTTGAGTAGTGTCCTTTGAGGCACATTTTAATTTAAAGTCCATTTATTTATTTTTAATTTAATCTTATTTTATTTTTGAGAGAGTGTGTGCATGTGCGCGAGTGGGGGGTGGAGGGGGGTGGAGAGGGAGAGAGAGAGAATCCTAAGCAGTCTCCATGCTCAGCGTGGAGCCCGACGCATCTTGATCTCACAACCCTGATATGACCTGAGCCGAAATCCAGAGTTGGATGCTTAACCGACTGAGCCACCCAGGCGCCCATAAGTCCCATTTATTTATTTTTTGTTGCTTATGCTTCTGGTATCATACCTAAGAAATCATTGCCTAATTCCAGATCACAAAGATTTACTACTGTGTTTCATGGGTTTAGCCCTTAGGTTCAGGTCTTTGACTTATTTTGAGTTAATTTTTATATATGATGCAAGTCTGTTTGGATTTGATTTCCTCATCTGAGATGGGAAGAAAGTGTATTTGGAGAGCATTGGCATGTCCATAACTCTTTTCTTCCCCTACCAACCTTAGTGCCTGCCATATCTTATATAGTCGTTGGGTTCCTAGACAGGAAGAGAATGCGATCTAGTGGCTGTCTGAACTGAATAACTAGTTTCAGCGTGTTCTGGGTGGAACTTCTCATTGTATTCAAATCTTCGAAGGAAGCTTATAGGACTTTTGGCTCTAATGTTTTCATTAGTGTGCCGAAAACTTGAAAGAGATCTGTGTTTCTCTTTGGGAAGATAACATGTTAGTAAAAAAATTTAATTCTTGCAAATAGACCACTTCTCTTTGAGTTCAGGCAGGTTTCTTTATCCTAAGTGTTCTTGTAAGGGTGGGAGAGTGAGATGTTATAGTATTAAGGTATTATGATTATGGCTAACAAAGGGGTATATATTTTTTCCTGCTCTAGGTTCTCAGCTGCTGCGGGAGTTGAAAAAGATGGATGACAAAGCCCTTTTGGTGGAAGTACAGCTTTTAGAAAGCAAAACATACCATGCCCTGAGCAACCTGCCGAAAGCCCGAGCTGCCTTAACCTCTGCTCGAACTACAGCAAATGCTATCTACTGCCCCCCTAAATTGCAGGCCACCTTGGATATGCAGTCAGGTAACACCCTAGCTACTCATGGGATGTTTTCTTAAAGCTCTTCTTATTTCACAGTGGGGAATGGGTAATTGGCTAATTCCGCTCAAACTTCTCAGAAAAACCCAATTAGAAGGGTACCTTCCCTCCTATTAACTTGTTGTTAACTGTCTAAAATATATTAAGAACATGCTTATCTGTGGCTGGCCAGGCAACCTGTTTGTTAGAGCCAATACCCTGATAGGTTTAAAAAGCTCCCTTAACCTCCATTTGAGTCCCTCATTTAGGGGGTGCTGTTTCTCTCCAGGGTTAGACTAACTCAAGTCTGTTGTAACTTGGAGACCTTGGTAAAGCATGTTGGACTTTTCCAAAGGGCCTCAGATCAGGGCTAAGGAAGGCCTCCTCCACTACCCTGCATTTCAGTTGAGTATAGTGGATACCTTTCTGGTGGAGTGTGTGAATATTGGGCTCAGAGGTCATGGATTGGCAGTGGAATGCTTTTTCTTGTGGTCAGCAGCTTTTATTAGTCATAGTTTATCATCATTATGGAAGGAACACTGGAATTGGAGGCAGAAAACTAGTGTAAGTCCTGGTGTTACCTTCCTGCAATCTTTTTTCCATATTTGTGTAAGAGAAAGAATGCCTGCACTACCAGCTTATCAGGTATTGTGAGTAGCAAATGGCTTATTTAGTCATTCAGAGATTAAGAGGAGGAGCTCAACAGACCACCTTTCCTAGGTTGAAATTTTGGTTCTGTCAATTTGATTCTGTCAAATTTTGGTTTGTGTGACTTGGGCAAGTTACTTAATACATCTTTAGTTCGGGCGCCTGAGTGGCTCAGATGGTTAAGTGTCTGCCTTCGGCTCAGGTCATGATCCCAGGGTCCTGGGATCGAGTCCTGCATCAGACTCCCTGCTAGGCGGGGAGCCCGCTTCTCCTCTGCCTCTGCCTCTCTCTCTGTCTGACTCTCATGAATAAATAAATAAAACATTAAAAAAAAAATCTTTCGTTCATCTGTAAAATGGTGATAATAATCATACCTCCTCATAGGATTGTGGTGAGGATTCAGTGATGATGAATGTGAAGGTCTTACCGCAGTATCTCGCTTGGACCAATATTGGCACTTTCTTTAAGCTGCTACTCTTTCATTATGCTGGTCCTTCAGGGACAAGAGGTGAATTATTTCACAGAGGAATTAGAGGCCATGTTTACGTGAATCCTCCCCTCTTTCCTCTCCAGAATTTGTATCACAGCCCAGTTTACTCCATATTAAGAATGATTCTTTCACCTGTCTTTTTGTTCCATTCTAAGTCTTCAGTCTTTCTTCTCCACTTGTATCTTTCTCTTTGTCCTTGAACTGCCCCAGCTGCAAAAAGCACAGCCCTTTCTCCTTTCTAAATTGCTGTCTTCTTTTCTGTCAAGTTTCTGTCAACTTCTGAAAAAGTTGAAAGAGTATCCTTACTTTGGGGTCTCTTTTGACTCCTTGAAAGAAGTCAGTAACTCCCTTATAACCTCTGACTTTCAGGGGGAAGCTGACTCTATTGAACACTCCAGGCTTCTTTGACATCACTGTCTTCCTCATTCTCCTCCCTCGACTAATTGTCCTTGGTCACACTTTGCTGTTTCCTCTTCCTTCTTACTTTTAAGTGGGGGTGTTCCTCAGTGTTGATTCCTTAGTTTTTTTTCCATTCCTATTCTCTGTTTCCTATCTAAAATGCCATACTCACCCATGGCTTCAGCTGCTGCATGCCACTAGTGGTCTCCTCATCTAGACCTTCAGTAGCTTCCCTCTCTCCTAAATTGTAGATTCAGATTTCCAGCTGCATAATGGACATACATACCTAAATGCCTCATAAGTGTCTCAGCCTCAACATGTCAAAAAGCAAAATTATTATCTAACTCCTCCCTCAATCTTCTTTTTCCTATTCAAGTTAATGGTATCATTATTGATTTAATATTGCTCAAGCTATTGTCTTTGGAGTAATTTTGACTCCTTTTTCTCCTCACCCCTCATATCCAGTCAGTTGCTAGATCAGGTGGAGTCTGTCCCCAAACCTACCCTTTCTTTTCCATCTCTACAGTCATTGCTCCAATGAAGGCCTAGGCCATTGGAGCAGTCTTCTGCTGATCTAACTGTCCCTGATCCCTTTTTCCAATCCACTTTTTTTTAACTGGCCCCAAAGTCATTTTTCTCAAACACAGATCAGATCATGTAACTCCTTTGTTTGAAATTCTCCAGTGGTTCCCCATTATCCACAGGCTACATTTTACTTTAACATGGTATGCAAAAGGAAGGCATCTTTTCCTTTTCATCAGTTACCAAATGATTTCGAGTGTTATTGCCGTTGTGCCTTTGTGTATTTTGTCTTCTTTGCTTGGAAATTCCCCTTCTCATCTATTCCCTTGGCAAAGACTCAGGTGTCCTTCCAGATCCAGTTCATGTCTCCTCTATAAACCCTCTCTAGTGCCTTCTTTTCTTTTGGACTTCCCCTCTCAAAGCTGTATTTTTTTGTACATATTGTGGTACTAATCTTGTTTCTGTTTTGGTGATCATCTTTTCTGCTATCAGACTATGAGCTTCATGAGGGCCTTTTATTCATACTTATTTCCACTGTAGTAACTGTATCAGTGGCTGGCAGATCATAGACCTTCGTTAATATTTGTGTTGAGTGAGTGACAGTCTAGTTTTTTGTTTTTGTTTTTTTTTAAATAATAAACCTCATATACTAGCCTTGATGCCTGGAGTCCTAATGTGGGCCCTATTTATTAATGTATTTGGGAAAGCAGTATACCAGTTCTTGGGCCTTATTTTACTTTTACTTTTTTTTTTTTTTAAACCAGTCTAATTGTGGGCCTGGTCTATTCTCTTCTAGCTTTGGCCCAGGAGGTATGGGGAATGGGGATTTATCTCCTCTAGTTTAGCAGTGTTAATAGTTTGTTGGACATTCTTGGGGGAGCTCAAGAGAAGGGTGGAGTTTCTCCAGCTCTCTGTAGATAAGAACAGTAGAGAACAACGGTCTGATTCCTTTAGCCTCAAAATGAGAGGCTTCTTGGGTAGAGTAAAAAGTACTAGGGTGTGACACATTTCACTCAGTAAATGGTATTAAGTCAGAAGTTCCCAGATGGTGTGGAGGCACACAGCTATGTGATGATAGGTGGGTTAAAAATGTGCTGAAACACTGTTCCCTTGGGTCATGTGTAAGCACTTCCATCCTTTTACTTCAAGGTGCTGAGTACTTTCTCTTTGTACCTTGATGTGAAAAATGTTGGGAAGCACTGTGGTAAACAAGTGAGGCTGAGGTCTTTAACCTCATAAAGGTCTGAAGCAGAGTTACAACCAATACACACTCTGAGGACTTAGATGCCTCCCAAGCTAGAAAGAACTAAATTTTGTGTTATCCCAGGTGATAGCATAGGTTGGCAGTCAATCAAAGTTAGCTTCATTGGGATCAACCCAACTTCTAAACAGTAGAGACTTGTTGGGGCGCCTGGTGGCTCAGTCGTTAAGCGTCTGCCTTCGGCTCAGGTCATGATCCCAGGGTCCTGGGATCAAGCCCCGCATCAGCCTCCCTGCTCTGCGGGAAGCCTGCTTCTCCCTCTCCCACTCCCCCTGCTTGTGTTCCCTCTCTCACTGTGTCTCTCTCTGTCAAATAAATAGATAAAATCTTTAAAAAATAAATAAATAAACAGTAGAGACTTGTTTAGATAAACTGTGGTATCTCAGCCTGAGTAAATACTGCTTAACCCTGTACAGTTAAATTAATTTCATGGATCTGGCATTATATGAAATCTATATATTGATTGCATCTAGGCAAAAGCACATCTGTAAATGACAACTATCTGAAGCGAGAGTATAAGAGGTTAGATTTTTTTCTCTTATGAGAGCTACTTACATACAAAAATGTCAAGCTTAGAAAAGCTATCTTAGGGGCACCTGGGTGGCTCAGTTGGTTAAGTGACTGCCTTTCGGCTCAGGTCATGATCCTGGAGTCCCGGGATCGAGTCCTGCTTCGGGCACCCTGCTCAGTGGGGAGTCTGCTTCTCTTCCTGACCCTCCCCCCTCTCATGTGCTCTCTCTCTCTCATTCTCTCTCAAATAAATAAATAAATAAAATCTTAAAAAAAAAAAGAAAAGCTATCTTAAAGAAATGTTGTTAAAACAGGTTATGCAGGCAGTCCAGGGATGTTTGGGTCCTGACCTATGAGGGTGATGTCCTGAGGGGTAACTATGGCCTTTTCTAGGGGCTTCAAGAGATAGCAGAACCGCAGTGGTGATGAGAAGCATGGGGAAAGATGTTAGTACGTAGTTTTTAGGATCCCCTTTAAGTAGGGTCTCTAACTCCTTTGGGATTTATATTGTCAAGATGACATTGAACAGGGAGACTGAAGACCTGGGTTCTCATCCCAGCTTTACCACTAGCTGGCAGTGACTTTGGGGCAGGTCCTTTATCCTTTTCTGATGTCATCACCTAGTAGATGGGGTTGGGATAGATTTTGGAGGCTCTTTCCAGCTCTGATCTTTGATGGTTCTGTTATTTTATATGGTTTTACTCCTTTCTTCTCATGTCCAGGTATTATCCATGCAGCAGAAGAGAAGGATTGGAAAACTGCATACTCCTATTTCTATGAGGCGTTTGAGGGTTATGACTCCATCGATAGCCCAAAGGCCATCACATCTCTGAAGTACATGTTGCTGTGCAAAATCATGCTCAACACGTAGGTGCACATTAACTTGGGGATATGAGAACTCAAGTTCTTCACCTCAGTTTCTGCCATGCAGACATAGCTTGCACAGGGAGTGGGGCTGGTTAGAAGCAGCAGCTGCGCCTCTGGGGCTTGTTGACATAAGGTGGGAAGATCGAAGGTGTTCCGGAGCGTTTTTGCTTGCTAGTCTTTGAGAATCGGGGAGACAGATTAGAGAAATCTCCTTTCCAGACTCTTGGAGTGTTCTCATCATCCAGCAGTTATTCTGACCAGGGAGTTGCTGAGCACCAGAGGGCCTGGAAATAGCTTACAGTCCAGCACTGGCCAACTGGGCCAACCAGAATGGGGGGGGGAGTTAAGGAAGACATTAGGGAGAGGTTTGAGAAGGGGAACAACAGCAAGTAGGACAGATCTTTTTATAAGGAATTCTGCAGAATTTATCCACATTCCTTTGGGAATAAATGTGATATTGACTAGGACTTTTTGGATCTTCGCATTACACAGGGCTTGTGTTTTAACAAGACCTGTTGTCTGGGGATTTGACTTAGATTTATCATCCTGCCTGTTGGGTCTATTACTTTTGGTACATTCATTGTGGCTTTCTTTTTAATGCTGGAGTTTTTCTACTCTTCAGTGCTGGGCTTGGGCCTAGGGTAGAGATAGCCTGGCTTCTGTGAGGTGAGGGACATAATGAGTTTAGGGGTGGGGACTCTTACTGTCGTGGGCAGGCTTCTCAGTGAAATTCTGAGAAAAAGAAATTTGCTTAAACCCATACTTAGAAGCATAACGTCCTGGAGCAGGGACCAAGTATGTCTGTTTTTTTTTTTTTTTCTAGCCCTGAAGATGTCCAGGCTTTGGTGAGCGGGAAGCTTGCACTTCGGTATGCGGGGAGACAGGTAGGGAATACCTTGACTGTAATTGTCATCTCTGCTCACTCTGAAGCCAGTCCATTGTCAGTCATGATGCCCCATGAGACCGGTGCTCTTCATGTCTCCATTCTGTATTCTCTGCGTGGCCCCCCCGCCACTCTTCCTGCCACCCCTTAAGCCCATTCCGTGTATTTTCTGTACTGTTAAATCCTTGGCCTGGAGGGTCAGTGTTTGGTGCTTTAATGGACATAGGGAGTTATAGAACTGAAGTGTAGCATTTGCACGAGTTAGGCTGCATTTAGCTTTGACCAAAAAATTTATCTATCATGAGCCTGACTTGCAAACTTAACGTGTGCAGAACATGAAGTGTTGGATTCTCCAGGAGTCTGGAGCTTGGTAAGGTCTGGTGCACATGTGCTTTATAGGGAGGTTGAAGTGCTTAGTGCAGGAACTGGGTTTTGAAGGCTCACCCGAGTGCTTCTCAGTACCTTTCCACTCATGTCCTGAGTTTTGAGTGTGGTGCAAGAGGCCTTTGATAGTCGGTAGCCCCTTTTGTGCCTGAGTAGGTATGGGTATGACCTGTGTAAAGGTGGTTTCAGATGCCTGGACTATCCCTTCTTTGTACTTTGTTTGATTATCAGTAGTAAAGTAAAAGTAATCTTTCTAGATTCCAAATGCATTTGTCTCCAAACAATAGACACATTAGCAATCTCCTGTCTTTGGAGGGATGGCCACAACAGACGGTTTCTTTCTTTTTTACAAGTGACCCTAGTTTTGGGCTCCTAGTTTTGACCACAGTAATAGTTGTTATTACTATAGTGAAGGACCTACTGCTCTATCTAGAATTAGAGTTGAGGGAAATGGGCTAAGAGAGGTCAAGTGTCCGGGACAAGGGACAAGGTCAGATAACTATTAAATGGTGGAGCCAGACTTTAAACTTGGGTTATCTGGCTCTTAGTTCCAGGCTTTTCTCATTATGACATTTGTTCTGTCTATGGGACAAAGGCCGAGACAGGATACATTAATGATTAGTTTTGCACCATTTCAAAGTCTGCAATATAACACACCATCCTTATGTAGGTGCATAGGCTGGTACCAGAAGAGCTCCTTCTGGTCCTTTGTACCTTGATGACAGCTTTCAAGGAGGTGTCAGGACAGACTCTCAGAAAGATTGTAGATTTGTTGCTGAGTGGAGACTTGGTAGCTTGGTGAGGTGCCTTTTACAACCAGGTTAGAAGGTGACCTCAACAACTGATTGTACCTTCCTCCCTCTGTGGCATTTTTTTTTTTTTTAAGATTTTATTTATTTGTCAGAGAGAGAACACAAGTGGGGGAGTGGCAGGCAGAGGGAGAAGCAGGCTCCTCACTGAGCAAGGAGCCTGATGTGGGACTCGATCCCAGGACCGTGGGATCATGACCTGAGCTGAAGGCAGTTGCTTAAATGACTGAGCCACCCAGGCATCCCTCTCTGTGGCATTTTAACATTGAGTGTAATATGGGTGGCTCAGCCCTGATGAAAGTAGACCCTGGCTCAGGCTCTGTACCACACCTAGCGGAGTAAGACTTGATGAAGCACAGGTACGACCTGAGGCTAAGGGCAAGAAAGAGTTTGTGGGCTTTGGGGATAAGGAGTCTTGGAGGAGGGGGAAAGAGATCACAGTTCTCTGGTCATTTTTTCTTTTAGCTTGTTATCTTGGGAGAATGCTATATAAGGGCCTTTTTTCTTTTTCTTCTTTTTAACTTCCTATTTCCTAGTATTTTTAAGTCATTTCAGGTTTCAAAGGGAGATTGGTTGGGACACAGTGGTGGTGTTCTAGCTCTTCTTCCCCGGCCTCTGAAGAAGATCAGTGGTGGGGTGGGATCTTCCTTGCAGCCAGAAGTTGTGTGGACGTAGCATACTGCTTAGGACATTTATTGGGTGGGATGTGAGTGTGCAGAGTAGATCGCTGTCACTGTTTTTCTCTTTACTCTTAGACAGAAGCATTAAAATGTGTGGCGCAGGCTAGCAAGAACAGATCACTGGCAGATTTTGAAAAGGTAAGCATGGTATTGGGTTGGTAGGGAATGGGTGGAGGAGAGGGGCATTTACATACTTAAAAAAACCTTTTTATTTGTGAATAATTATAGTTTCACAAGAATTTTCGAAGATAGTACACAGTGATCCCGTGTACCATTCACCCAGTTTTCCCCAGTGGTTACGTCTTAATTACAGTACAGTATCAAAGTCTGGAAATAGTTAAGCACTTTTGTACAGTGAAACTTGTTGAGTTGTAATACCTCATTTATATATAGTACCTTTCAGTTTCAAAAAGCTCTTTTCATCCGGGGTGCCTGGGTGGCTCAGTCAGTTAAGTGTCTGACATGATCTCAGGGTCCTGGGAACAAACCCCACGTTGGGGAGTCTGCTTCTCTCTCTCCCTCTCTCTCTGCCCCTCCCCCTGCTCATGCTCTCTCTCGCTCTCTCTCTCGCTCTGCTCTCTCAAATAAATAAAATCTTAAAAAAAATTGTTCTTTCATCTTTTTTCACCTTGATTTTTCACAGCATACCCCTTCTCTGCATTTTATGGTTGAGGGAGCGGGGGCTCAATGCGGGTGCCGGAAGCCCCCCGGCTCACATGTCAGGGATCGACGCCAGCCCTGCCACTTGTTCCTCGGCTCCAGAAATGCCAACTCTGCTTCTCTGGGGGCAAAAGAGAAGTCTTGGTGTGTGCAAACGGACCAAAAGACACTTCCTGAGGTTGACCTTCAAGGCTCGCTTTGCCTCCTGTGACTTTTACTCATTGTTAGCAAAGGTTGGAAATGGGAGGAAAACATGCCTGAGCAGTAGAGTGAGACTTGTATATTCTCTTCTGAGCCTCTCTTCTCTGAGTTTAATGACCAATTTAATAAAAACAAACGTAGATCTAGGAAGAAAAACTTAGTGTGGACAGAGGCTAGACCATTTGGCTCTGGCTGTCCCTGAGATTCATCTTCGTTGAGCTTTCTTGCCAATTTCACTTCCTTACTTGGCATGATTTGCTTGCTTCTCTTAACACCTTATAGCACATCTGACAGGCTGGATATTGAGACCATTTCTCAAAATAAATTATATACATGAATAAACAAAATAGACTAGATAATTTTATCCTAAAGTTTGGGATGTTTGATGGGACACTTCTATTAGTAGGGGTTCCTTGGGGTAAGGGCGTGGGAAACACGAGGGCTAAATAAAATTAGGTGTTTTGCTTTCTGTTAACTGCCCAACTGTATGTTGATGTGCTTGTAAAAGTCCACGAGCCAGTTGTGGGATTCAGCATTTCCCATTATTTTTTATTTCTTACTTTATAAGAGAGAGAGCGAGCAAGCTCGCAGGCACAGAGGGGGAAGGGCAGAGGGGGAGAGAGCAGGCTCCATGCCCAGCCCGACATGGGGCTCGATCTCAGTGACCCTGAGATCATGACCTGAGCCAAAATGAAGAGTCAGACCCTTAACTGACTGAGTCACCCAGGCACCCCAAGCATTTCCCATTATTTAACCTCAGAATTCTTCCCCCCCCCCCCCCCTTATTTTTCCTGGATACCCTCTTTGCTCTGTGGGATACCTGGGGACAACTGCTTGTGTAGTGGATTTGGCTTTCAAGCTAAGCTGTTCTTGGGGCTTACATGGTTTGGGCTGTCAACGTGAGGCTTTCCAACAGAAAGATGGTGCCTAGAAAGGGCTCCATCTTTTAGTTCCTGATGTTTCTTTTCTTCTTCCTTCTGTCAATAACTCTTTCATCTCAAATCCTCTAGAACTTGAGTCACCCATGTGTTTACAAGGTCCAGCAGACTACTTAGGAAGCCAGGGGTGGTGGCGTGGCTTTACATGCTTCTCTGTGCCAATCTCTGTGACCGTCTTTCTTGGCAGGCCCTGACAGATTATCGGGCAGAGCTCCGGGATGACCCAATCATCAGTACACACTTGGCCAAGTTGTATGATAACTTACTGGAACAGAACCTGATCCGAGTCATTGAGCCTTTTTCCCGAGTTCAGGTAAGTGCCCTCCTGGGGACTCTAGTTCTTCTCTGGCTAGGCATCCTCTCTAGTCCCCTCCCTTCCCACACCTATCCAGAATAGGAACTTGCTTCCAAGACTGTGTCTGGTGGGCAAGAGGCTTGGGCTTTTCTTGACATAGAACAAGAGTTGAGGGCAAGCTGTGGGGTGGAGGCTGGTGAGATTGCCCCTGCTTGTCCCGAGTGCAGTCTGCTCCTTGCTTCTGTAGTCAGTGTGCATGTGGTAGACGTCTGTGTTCCAGGGGTGTGGGACAGGAGTGTGTATTGTCTAGTGATGAGAGGCAGGCAGGCAGACCGACAGAGCACGAGAGGCCTGAGCCTGACCAAAGAGAGTCTGCCCCGGGGAGATGCTCGGCTGGGTTTCAGCGGACTTGGCAATCCCAGCCCCACCCTGCCCCCAGGTTAGAGGTGGAAGTAGGACTCTCAGTGTCGCTGTCTCTCTGCCTTTTTTTGTAGATTGAACACATATCTAGCCTCATCAAACTCTCCAAGGTAAGGAGTTCTCAGCTTGTCTTGGGAGCAGGGACGGGGAAAGGGCCATTGGAGGCGGGTAGCATTTCCACTCAATGGGCCTTGTTGGAAAGTCCTCAAACTTCATAGTGTGGAATGGGGACCATGAGCTCAGAGCTTGAGTTACATTGTTGCTGTTTGGTTTACAATTCATTTGCCCTTTTATACAGAACTTTGTCAGTGTGATCTTTGACTAGTGGATACCGGTCCCTTTAATCATGTGCTTTGATTTTAGGCTGACGTGGAAAGGAAATTGTCACAGATGATTCTTGACAAGAAATTTCATGGTGAGTAACAGTGGTGAAGCGGTTGACACATCACGTTCTTGTTTATCTTGAAAGGAGATGTTCCATTTGTTTCACCTGGTAGCTCCCTACGGTTGTCGCCCCTCTTATCCCTGTGATGAGAGAGCATAATAAACATGCCCAAATAGAACACAGAGATGATTTCTGGTTCTCCTCCTTTCTGGAGAAAGGGAGGCAGCTAGGGAGTGGGCTGCTTCTCAAGTGCCTTTTTGTCTAATCCCTTCTTTTACCTGGGTTGCCCTTGTGTTTCCTGCAGGGATCTTGGACCAGGGGGAGGGTGTCTTGATTATTTTCGATGAACCCCCAGTAGATAAAACTTACGAAGCTGCTCTGGAAACAATTCAGAACATGAGTAAAGTAGTGGATTCCCTCTACAACAAAGCCAAGAAGCTGACATAGGTGAGTGCTGGCTCCGGGCCCTGGGCCCGGGCAGCGCCGTCTTCTGCCTTCTAGACTGAAAGCATCTGGGTGGCCTCGAAGCTTCCCTGAATGACACTGCTCTGTCTTCTCTTGCAGAGTTGGATCTGTAGCGGTCCTTTGGAGAGTGTGTGTGGCGGGAGAGTGAAACCTTTGGGGAAAATGCTAGGAGATTCTTTTTTCTTTTTGTTCTACTTTTCGCTCGGAAAGTTTTTAAATCCTCATTTGGTGCATCTGTATTCCAGCCAATAGGTGTGCCAGTTTTCATGTAATCTTTACTGGCCCAACTTGGGAGTGGGGAAATTGCTTAAAAAAAAAAGAAAAAGAAAAAAAAAAAGGTTATTCTAAATAAAAGGAAAAAGGCTTACACTACCTAAAGCTGTGCTCTCTGCCTCCGGGGAGAGGGCCACAAAGCCAGGCGCCCCGCCAACCACTGGGGCTCCTAATCCACCTGCTGGGCGTCACCTCTCCTCCTCTTCAGAATTGGGTGTTTGCCTGACCATCAAAGCAACGACTTTTTATTCTGTTTGTACTGAACCAAAACAAACAACTGTGTATAGACTGCTATTTTCTTTTTTATTTGAAACGAGGTGTTTCGGTGTTCTTTCCCCTGCCACATGGCCTGTCACCCGCCCTCCCCCCCAACAATGGCTCCAGCAGACTGGCCAGAGGGCCTGCCGCCGCCGCCGCCCCTGCACAGCTCCGCGCCGGCCTGTGGAGGAATGGGGACGAGGCCAGGAGCTAGTGTCCACCGGCGCCACACGGGAGCAGTGTGGGCCCTTGGGGGGCCTGCTGTGCATGTGGCTCTTTTTAACACAGTAAACTAGATTAGATGTCAGTGTTTTAATTGCCCTTCTCTGCTCTTCTCTCTGTCCCTTCTCTTTCCCCTCTCAACCAGGAGACCATCCCATGTCTCTCTTCCTCCCTCCTTCCCCTCTAGGGGAGTCAGGCTGTCTGAAATCCATCGGCTTCTCTCCCTGTCCCACTCCTCCTCCCGCTGTCAGATGGATTTAGTCTTTTTTTAAACAAGTGAACATTGGAAATGAGACTGTGGGGTGTGGGTTTTCTTTCTTTTTTTCTTGTTGTTTTTTTTTAAACCTTTGTTGTCGGGTTTTCGAGCAACCTCATGTCCCCCTCCCAGGGAGCTGCTTTATTTACCTCTTAGAAACCAAACGGCTGGGAGGTAGAGCATTGTATTTCAGCATGCTTTGTTTTATGATGAGATCACATAGAGAAGCTTTCGTGCCATTTGGGCAGGTAAGCTTCTGCACCTCTGTCGTGCCCAGCTATATTTCTGCCTCCTCTCATCTGTCTTCTCTTTTCCTCCTCCCCTCATGCCTCCTTCCTGCTGGCCTCCTTTTCTCTTTCTTTCCCTTTCTCAGATTATCCTTCCAGGTTTTCGTAATAAATTTATATTTTGTAAAAGGATTTTGTTGTACCAGGTTTTGCATCCTCACTGAATCTGACTGGCTTTTACTTTCCTCTCCAAAATCAGGTTTTTGTTCTCAACATTTCTCCCCATCATGTCCAGTCACTGTTTTGGTTTTGGCACCATCAATATCAAATGTACAAACGGTTCTTGCTAACCAACACCAGGTATATCTGATGTTCAGATGAGTTCCAATAAAATTTTTTTTTTCAAAAAGTGTCCTTTCTTGAGTGCTGGAGGGCTTCTGATCAAGTCCACACAGCTCTGTAGTCTTCTAGACTGGCCAAAGCTCTGGTACCTCATTTGCTTCATGAGACCTTTAGATCTGGGGTAAAGTGGAGGGATTTGGATAAGAAGGTTGGTCGGTAAGGTCTGAAATGGGAAGTGGTGTGCAGGGATCCTTCTGTTTTTCCAGGGCAACATGGTCCAGTGAGGACAGGGGGTTTGGGCTGGAAGAGCCTCTGCTGCTTCCTTGGTGGGGAATCGTGGTGTGAGGGTTGTATGCAGTCATACCAGTGCAAGTGCCTGGAGAGTCCTGACACTCAGTTGTGGTTTTATTTTTAGTTGAAACCTTCAAAAGCAGTGATTTTCATTCTGCCCCTCAGACCCTGGCAGCCGTTCTTCTGAGGGGCCCTGAGACCAACTAGGGGTGAGGGGGGAGCTCTCACCGCCAGTTCCACTCTAGTCCCAGCCAGTTTGTTACTTTGTTTCAGTTTTGTAGAGTCTCTCTATAGTTTCTATAGTTGCACTTGCAGGAAGAATTTTGCTTCGCTAAGGGACTGTAAGAACTATCCCCAAGGCATCCAGCCCTGTAGCTGGAGAAGGGGGCGGGGGTTCTCCAAGCCTAGGGCTGCCTGGAGGGGCTCAGTCGGCAGCAGCCCTTCCTCTGCTCCCTTTGCGGGTCTGATGACCTCCTCTAGACCTGTGCTGTCCACTGTGCAGGCACTGGCCACACGTGGCTGTGGAGCCTTTGACATGTGGCTAGTTCGAAGTGTGATGCATTGCAAATGTAAACAAACCAGACTTCAAAGACAGTATAAAAAAAATGTAAAATAGCTCAATTTTTTTTATATATATGTGAACTATTTTGAGCATAATGGGTTAAATAAAATATATTATTAAAATCCACCTGTTTCTTTTTATTTTTTTATGATGTGGCTACTCAAAAATACTTGAATACCTATGTGGCTTGCATTTGTGGCCCACGTTATATTTTTTTGGATGGTGCTGCTCTAGACTTCCAGGGCTGCTTTCCCTTGCTGGCCTCAAGGGAGCTAGGTCTGGGCACAGCTGAGGGGGTCGGGTGGCCCAGAGGCTGGCCTGGGCCTGGCTTCCTCACCTAGGGACCCTTCCTGGCACCAGCCCTCATGTGCCACAGCTTTCTTGTGTGCTGATGAGACAGCACCGGTGTTGGGAGCAGAGGCTGAGGCGCTTGGCTCTGGAGCACTGCTGCGTGCTAGTTATATAATCTGTGCTGCCCAGAAGGGCCACTAGATGCTGCTCTGTGATCCCTGAAGGAACAAAGCACGGCTGCCTCAGAAGCCAGGGTTTAGCCTTGCTTTATTTGGAGCCCTTTCTGGAAGGTAGCCGGCCAGAGCCTTGTCTTCTCTTTCTCAGGGTGGTATGGGGATGGGGCCATGCAGAGGACAGGGATTCTCTGGTGACACATGGGAATATCAGCCCAACAGTGCAGATAACAAGCAGGCTGGCCCTTCTGGCAGCTAGAGATAGGCTATAGAATCAATAGGCTGATCGATGGTGGGGTTTGGAGTGCTTTCCTGCAGTTCTCTGAAGAAGACTGGGAAGAAAACAGCTCCACTTCATTCAGCTGGGTCTGCATTCTGGGCCTTGATTCTGCCATTTTCGGTAGAAGATTGCCCTTTCTTCCTTGCCTTGCACTGGAGCTGTGACAGGAGCTTTAGGGTGGTGGTGGTGGTGGTGGTGGGTGCCTTGAAACAGTGGGCACGGCAGTGGGGGTGGACAGGACTTTCAGACAACCCCTTTCCTCAGGCACAATCGCAAGTGGGCTGCCAGTGCACATTTCGTTCATGATGTGCTGCAAACATGGCTTTGCCTTTGACAAGTGTGAGGAGGCTGAGGTAGTAATGCAAAGAGCTCTTTTTGAAGGTGCTAGGGAAGGCTGGCTGGACAGTGGCGAGAGAGGATACCAGAGTGTGGCCAGTCTGGAAAAGGTCCGGGCAAGAACCTGCTGCTTTGGTTTGGGAAACCAAGTGGGGTAAAGTGGACCTTGGTACTGCCTGCCATGAATTGGAATAGCTGAAACTGAAATTTGTAGGTACAGGTACCAGGGTGGACCTAAGGGGAGGCTTACAGGCTTCGAAATCTAGGCATATTTTGTGAAATGGAAAGCATTTAACCTTTGCTCAACACCAGAATCTGAAGGGGACCTTGAGAGGCAGTATGGACAAAGGCCTACTTGGGAGCTGGGCCTCTCCACCAGGGGCTGGAGGGAAAAAGGCTTTGCCTTGGAGAGAAAGAGAGTCATTGGGCCAGGGGACCTGGAATAGATTACTTCTTCAAGCTCCTTACTAATAGGGAAGGAGGGTTGAGGACTGCTCCATTTCAAGAGCAGGCCGAGGTTGTACACGGAGGAACATCCGGAGGGAGGGCCCTGTTGAGCAAAGGGCCGGCTTTCATCTAAGTTAAGATGACAGCTGCTGTGGATGTTTCACAAGCAGCCATCTGCTCACAGAACAATGCATTTTCCATTATGTGGTCATCAAAGTCCCTAAAGCTTTCACTTTGCCACTATTGACAGAGAAACGGCTGGGTAGTACATATACGCATTCTATTACTTTGACTCGATAGCAGCACTGTCCTGTGTAGGGCCGTGGGCAGCACTGGCAGAGCGGGCCCAGGTTGACAGCCTGGAGTGGCCAGGAGGCCAGGAATTGGGTAGTTAATCTGGATTACTGCTTCCTTATCTTTTGGTCCAGAGGTGATAATCTGGATTAAGATAGGGTTTGAATCTTCTGTTTCTCCGGTTTGTGGGCAACTCAATCAGTTTCCAGAACCAACTAAAAGAAAAACAAATGAAGAATGGCTCTTGTGAAGGATGTGAATTGTTGTCTGTGAGAGGAACTGTTCTTACTAGAGTCAGAATTTTACAACTTGGCACCAGATCTTCAAATGGTACATGGTTAGCATGAAAAACATTGGAATCAGAGGATCAGAGGCTGGTTTGGAAGAGCAGTGGCTTCAGTTTTACTATAACTGATAAGAGGGCCAGTGGTAATGTCGAGGTCATATTTGTGAAGGACTGGCCCGTCTCTGGGGCAGCGGCCCGCCCCGGGGCCTCAGAGCCCTGTCCCAGCCAGGTGGGTGCGGGAAAGCCAGTCTCTGTTTTGTGGACCAGCCCAGAACTGCCTATGCCTCTCTGGCTTGGATTTCTATTTACCCGGGCTCCGGCCCTTTACCTGAGGTGCGGGAATAGAGGCCACAGAGGGGGAGACGTGAAAGTCGATGGGACAGTCCATCCGGATGCGAGTGGCTTCAGCAAAGGCTTCCGCCTCCCCCCCCCCCCCCCCCCCCCGGCTCAGGGCCTTCCTCCTCGAGTACCTAGCTTCTTCCCCGCCGGACGAGGATGTTAATGGAAAAAGGAATCTCGGGGCCCCGGCCGGCCTCCGTGGATAGCTTCTCGCGCGGCAGCCTCAGCTCGGGCGGGCCGCGCGTCGCCAGGGCGGGGACGCTTTCCCTTCCCCCCCCCCCAGTTATTTCACTTGGGAAGAAACAGTCAATCTTAGAAACAGATTTTTTTATGCCCAATATCGGAATGCTCGCCTCTTATTCC